AGTATATAGCTCTGTAACTGTTCTAAGGGTGTACAGTATATAGCTCTGTAACTGTTCTAAGGTGTACAGTATATAGCTCTGTAACTGTTCTAAGGTGTACAGTATATAGCTCTGTAACTGTTCTAAGGGTGTACAGTATATAGCTCTGTAATATAAGGGTTGTGGCTTTGAGCTTTATGTGGATTTTTTGTTCTTTTTTGTGCTCTTGTGTTACAGTGTGATGTTGACCAATATTCATTTTATTATTGAAATTTAATTTATATTTTATTTATATTATATTCAATAAACGGAGTTAAGTGGATTATTACCTTACCATATGTCCTAATTACTCTTAGATGATTATTAGGTTGCTGTGGTATGACCTCATTTGGACATTACTGGTGTTGTATGTTCATATATCATCCTGGCCTTGGGCTCAAACATGGAAATAGATAAATGTCATGAGTTTGGAAATTGATGTATGAATTATATCAACAGGAAGATGTACAAACCTAACTTGAAGCATTAAATTCATTGAACCGCTGTATTTACGAATTTCCATCACCTGGCATTCATTTGAAATTTTATATGCCTCCCCCCTCCCCCACACACACACACACACACACACACACACACACACACCGGGTCTGTGCCCCACCTTGGCCACCCCATCCAAAATATCCTGGACACGCCACTGATTCTTACAATACTTGGTGTGGTGTAGACGTCAAATACGCTGTGCCCGTAAGTTTTAAATATAGTCGAACTTTACCATTTATACACGATAGTTTAGAGATAAATGTTGTTAATACTTTACAGATAGCATGTAGATAGATATCGTTTTGTTGTCTTAGAATTTACATTTAGATACTACAATTCCGTAAATACAAGAAAGCATTAAAAAGAAAAGAAAAAGCCGAATGATATTTTTCCTGCGTGAAGGTCGACTCATACGTGTTTGTCAAGAAGCCAGCGTCCAGCCTAGCAGAGGAATAGAGGTGTGTTCGTGTGACTAATAGTGATGTTTTTGTGTCTAGGGGTAAAAAAAAAAGAAGAATTAGTTTGATTAATAGGATTTGATTTAATTTGAATATCCCTTCCCCTCTCTCCGTTCCTCCACTCCCTAATACCTTTCTCCAATTCTTTTCCCATACCCTTTCCTTCCTCTTCCACCATCGACACTTCTTTACCTCCTCCCTTCCTACCTTTACACCCCCTCCCTCCTTCATTCATCTCCCCATCTCGAATTTCTCATCACATAATCCCATATTCAGCTTCAGAGAGTTCCACACCACAGCCTCGTATCCAAACTCCAGCTAGGCTATCATGTTTACGCCTTGTCCGGGTATAGTCATTCGCCTTGTGTTGAGTCAGACCCGCCAGCATAGATAGAAGTACAGCGAACAATATACAAAATTTACTGGGATTTTATGTAAGAATGCTGTATCATCTTATACAGGGTCAAATTAGACCCAAGTTTCTTAATAAACCAACTTAACCATAACCAAATGACTGGACCCAAATAGTAAATAGTGAGGGTTTAGGTTAGGGTGTGTGGAGAGGAGAATGGTAGCCATTATTGTATCACCCACTCACCTCCCTCTGCCAGTTCAGTTCACTAACGCCAGTGTTGTGTTACAGTTGTGTTTCGTGGGTCAGGACTGCCAGAGGATACCCAGCATCCTCGGTGCCACCTATGGCCTCCAGACGAAGCGACTTGACCTCTCTTACAACGCCATCCGGTAAGTCTCCCTCCTTCCCTTCCTCTTTCTACTCTTCCTCCTCATCTGTCTTCCCCCCAACTCCTGCTCCTCCTCCTCCTCTTACTACTACTACTACTACTACTACTACTACTACTACTACTACTACTACTACTACTACTACTACTACTACTAAAGGCCATCCTCCAATCTTCCATACATGCCCAATTCAAAGCAAGTTTAGTTTACCCTCTGTAAAGGTTTCCTAACATGTACCCTATATTCATGCCCAGGCTACCTTTATCACAACCTTCATCATGCCCTGGCTACCTTTATCAAAACCTCCATCATGCCCAGGCTACCTTTATCACAACCTTCATCATGCCCTGGCTACCTTTATCACAACCTTCATCATGCCCTGGCTACCATTATCACAACCTTCATCATGCCCTGGCTACCTTTATCACAACCTTCATCATGCCCTGGCTACCATTATCACAACCTTCATCATGCCCTGGCTACCTTTATCACAACCTTCATCATGCCCTGGCTACCATTATCACAACCTTCATCATGCCCTGGCTACCCTACTACAAGTTCAAGTGTCGCCCCACAGGTCGTTGGAGGGGCTGGAGAAGTTCCCTTACCTAGAAGAAATCATCCTAGACAACAACTTCATCGATGATAACCTGGTTCTCCCCTTCCTCGCCACTTTACACACCCTCTCCCTCAACAAGAACAAGGTAATGCAATGATTCACAGTGGTAGTAGTTAACTCAGTGGGGGGTTAATATTGACTGTGTTATATTAATTGTTAACATAGTGGGAGGTTATTGACAGTAGTTATCACTGAGGAGTTAACAGTGAACGGTTGGATACTAAATAGGTAATTGTAATAGTATTTTACTGTGTCGTGTTCGTAGTTCACATATTTCTGGGTTAACAATTGTATTGACGGTGTAAGTTTAAATAGCTAAAATATTCGCATCTACACAGGTAACCAATTTGGAGAAGCTGGTGGAACAAATTAGGGAACGGCTGCCCAACCTGCGGTACCTCAGTCTCCTGGGTAACGAAGCCTGCCCCGACCAGCTCTCCTGCGCTGACAAAGATGAGAAGGACTACCGCAGATACAGGTGACGCCACGACGAAGGAGTTTGTGTGTTTTATATTAAGCTTTAGTAATTGGCTTATTGCGTCTGGGTGAAGAAATTGTATTCTGGAGAGACCAAATTGGATATGACTTGGTGGCTTTGAAGATGTGTAATTGGTAGTAAGTCAGATGGACCCCAAGTTTGATTTAGCCTCAACTATTAAGAATGTATTTGTATTGATGCTTAAATTAGGCTGGGAACCTATTTGGTTAGGTTGGGGGCGCATCAGAGCAGGTTAGATTAGGTTAGGTTGGGGCGGATTAGGACTGGGGTTCATGGAAGCCCAGGTGGTCAAACATTGTGTTGTTCAGACCTGGAGGAAACTGTCGAGTGTATGTGAATCACAAGAAGATTGAACACCCTAGTTTTTTTTACCCATTGATTAAACACCCTAGTTTTTTTTACCCATTGATTAAACACCCTAGTGGTATCTATTCTAGGGGGTTAGGTTAAGTTAGGTTAGCATTTGGGTGTTTCAATCATCAGGTAATATATTTAGGGTGTCAAATCTTCATGTGATCCTTCAACCTTGCCTGATTATTTATTTTCATTTCAGTTTTGTGATTTGTTTATCATTCTTCCCTGGCTGGTAGTTCGTAGGAGTGTGTGGAAGTAGTCGGTTGTCTGTTTGTCTATGTCAAGATATAGGTTTTCCCTGAATGACTTGTCAGAGATCTAGTTCACTCATTTCAGCTTGGTTTTTGAATGTGTATTGTGATTGATTCTGGGCTTGGCATTGTTGAACGTCTCGGAATTGTATACAAATATTGAGTTTTGTTTATACAGTATTGGGAGTCGTGTGATGTGGCGGCATTTTGCAGCATGATTGTAGAAATTATTTTCTTTTGTGAGTGTTCATATTATACTCAGTTGCCACTACCACCACCACCGTGCTCAGCGTGTGGTCACCAGGTCTTCTCTGTTTACACTCACTCTCTCACCATAGGTCACTCGGTCCGTCTCTCTAACCATCCCATTACCCATTAAAATTAGATTTATGGTGTTCATATTTGTCTGTCTTGCTGTCTTGCTGTGTATCGTGTTATTCTGTGTCAGTTTCTCTCTTAACCTTCAAACTTCACATCACCAAACCAGTCATAGGAGCGGGAGAGGACACTCTGCTGGTGAAGGTTCTCCCCCTCCCTGTAATCTCAAAGGATATGTATGTCTCTGCCTCACATATCCTCCCTCTGATAATCTTTCTCACTTGGATGTCTATCAAGAGTTTATTTAAATTGTGAAAGAAAAAATCCTGTTGTTGTTTTTTCTTCACAACCAAAGATAAGAGAACGAATCTAATTTTAGTGTAATTTTAACAATATTTTTCCTGTGATGTGAAAACTATGCGTATAAATTTTTAGGTCTCTAATTGCTTCCGTTTTGGAGCTATGGTTGGAACAGACAGACACGTCCATTATTATTATAGATTGAGCTCTATAAACCCAGATTGCTTGTTGAGTTGTCCTGATGGTGATTTTGCCTTGCAGACTGTATGTACTGAACCGACTGCCCACCCTCAAGTTCCTGGACTCGACGGGGGTGCGGCGGAGTGAGAGGAGAGAAGCAAGGACCCGAGGCGCCTTGTCCAAAACCGTGCGGCCACAACAAACCTCTCCTCTCTCCTCCACCCAGGCCAAGATGGTCAGTGGTGACTCCTTCCTCTCATCTACTATTTGATAAACCATCTAATAATATACTTTAATATTATTCTCTTACAGCGTTCTTTATTTTTGCTTTTTTCTGTAATATTAAAGCAAATCTCTATTCAGATACTGATGTTCTCCAATTCTAGCTAATTAATGTTTTTATTCCCAAGTTCTCAGTTTCTTTCATTCTTATTCCTTCTTATTCCTTGTACGTTTTTTTTTCTCCCTTTCTCTATATATTTTTTTCTTTTCAGTCTTGTTCTGCTGTAAAATATTCCTTCATGTTTGTTTGTTATTGTTTTTTACAGTGAATTTCTATACTTTCTTACCTTGGGTAGTGTTGGCAGCCGTGTGTGTGTGTGTGTGTGTGTGTGTGTGTAATAATAATAATAATAATAATAATAATAATAATAATAATAATAATAATAATAATAATAATAATAATAATTAACGGTTTATTGAAAAAGTCGGCAGCCCGAAGGCTGAAAATATACATTAGACAAAAATGACTTATTACATACAAAGACATGGGGTGGGTGGGTCGTTTAACAAAAGCTTTCATTACTGAAAGAAGAAGGAACAATGATTGAACATATAAATTATTATAGTTTACAGTTGATGGCCCAGGCCTGGGCTGGTCATGGAGACACCAGGTGGTGAGGTGTTCACGTGGTGTAGTAACTCGTCCTCGGGTGTTGATATGAAGGACCTCACGTGGTCATGGGGACACCGTGTGGTGTGGGGTGGTGTCACAGTACCTCACTCTGCTCGGTGATGTTGTGTTATCTCATAGTCAGGTTCATAGCCGGCCGGCCCTCTGTTGTTCCCAGGGTGGACGGATTCGCACCTCCTTATCAGAAGTTGGTGGTTAGTTCCCAGGGGCGCTTATCTCACTGGTGGGTCGCGGCTTTCACTGGTACTGTCTAGTGCTCAATTCACTGGCTTAAACACTGTTCATCACTGTTCAACACTGATCCCACTTCTTTCCGAAACGAAATTGTCATATTTGATTATGTAGATATCCCGGTGGTGAGGATGGGTCGGGGAGAGGAACTTGGGGAACGGGCCGACATAGGCCAAGGGGGGGGAAGCAGCGTAGCGGGAGCATCGCCTGAATAGGTCTTGACTCTACGGTGGTCAAGGATGTAGTGTGTGTGTGTGTGTGAGAGCCATCTTCTGTGTGTTTGTGAGTAAGTGTCTGTTAATCTGTGTACAGGGGCGGATCCAGGAATATGAAATGGAGGGGGTCCGATATGTTGTGAGTGGGGGAACATGGCAAGCAGACCGAGCCCACCCAGCTGACCAATATCCCATGGGCATTTTGAGGCTATCGTGCACTTGGTATTAGGAGATATTCTGAGGTCAACGAATTAAAGAAAAAGTATTTGAATTCCTGATGAACAAGGGGGGGGGGGGCGGATCTCCACCCCCGGTCCGCCCCTGGTCTATGTACAGTATGTGTCTGTGAGCGGATAATTTAGGTGAGTTGACTAGAAGTTTGTCAGCCGATTCTAAAGTTTGGCAGAAGTCGTCACCTCACCACCCAAGAGATATTTGTATGCTATTTTGATATCACAGAGACATTGTCAAGGGATATTCCTGTTGTATATTATGAAATGGAAATAAGTATATGGTGATGTGTTATGTTTTTGTTGTTGTTGGCAGATATATGATTTGGGAGGAGGTGGAGGAAATCACTCGTCGACAACTTCTGAAGTGAACCACAAGCCCAGACGGTCGGCCATGGACAGGCGGGAACAGAACGGATCAGCTGGTAAACGTGGCACACCAGAACCCATCTCACCAAACACCCATACAGGTGACACCCCAAGTCCTCTTCACGCCTCTCTTACCTACCGTGAGCTGTAATTGAAGATGAACACACACACACACACACACAAGGCATTACCCTGGTGGAGGCGTTGTTATTGTGTGCCCCAGTCTACATGATGGTGTTCTCCCCCCTTCTTACCACCACTCTTTCCATCTTCCTTGTTTTACCTATCTTATCTCCTTCTCTTCCTTCCACCTCACTAGTGTCCCTCCTTTGTTTTCTACCCCCCCCCCACACCCCCTTCATTTCTTCCTGCTTCCCTCCCTTGCTTCTTTCCTCCTTCCCTCCATTTCTTCCACCTTTCTTCCTTCCTCCTTCCCACCTTTCCTCCCTCTCTCCTTTCTTTCCTCTCTACCTCCCGCCTTTCCTCCTTCCCTCCCACCTTTCCCTCCTTCTCTCCCACCTTTCCTTCTTCCTTCCTTTTCTCTCTATACTTTCCACCGTTCTTCTTTCCCTCCCTCCCTCCCTCCCGGCCACGTCCTGAAGTTTGTTGTACACGTCTGGACCAACTTGATCAATGGACTAATCTCATCCATGTCCGTAACCAGATTTAGAGCTCCTCCCTCACGTCTCATCCCCCTTAGGTATAAAGTACAGGTATAGTCAACTACTAAATTCTGTTCGCCCTCCTCTGAACCATGAACCCTGAGATTCACACTCATGTATCCAAAGCAGTAGACTGATACATTACTGCATTCACTCCATAAATGCTTCAGATTCACGAGTCTGAATCTCGGGGTTCGCGGTTCAGGGGGAGAGGAAAACGGTCTTTAGTAATGGACTATATAATAATTCCTGTTCCAGTTCCACTGCAATCTATTCATTTCCAAACAAACATTTTTATATTTACCAGCGTGATAAGATGTCCTCACTTTCCATGTTCCAATATTTATTTTGTGTTTGTTAACTTTTAATCTTTCCATCGCGTCTAATGTACAAGACTTTGTTTTGCTAGAACAGTACTTGCTAGCTCTCGGTGGCACAGTGTCACACTGCCCGCAAGCACGGGAGGCAATGTGGTTAAACCTTTTGGTGACGATGATACAAGAATGTCCAAGAATCATTTATTTTGTCTTTCCAGTAAGCTGGTGTAATTAACAATAATGTATACATTTATAAGGAAGCACCACCTGCATTTCGTATTTTTTTTAATGTACGTATCTTAATGGAGTCTGTTTGTACCATCAGGAGCATACGGCTTCCGGAGGTATCGTTACGTAGGCCAGCACTCGGAGGGTAACCGCTTCATCAACAACGAGGCTCTTTGAGGCGGACGTTCACACACCCACTATCTCCACCTGCAGATATTCCATTGTCAACAGTGTTTATTATTTACGGAGGATTTAGTTTTGTAACAATACATGCAGTACATGACACTAGCCAGGGTGTTAGTGTGGTTTTTGCTGATTATAGTAAGATTATTATTATCTCTGTACAATATAGGTTTATGCATCACACGGCCCAACTATGGGGAAGTGTGAATGGTTAAGATCCGGAAAAGGTCAACCACAGAACTCTATATTGATTTGTATATAGGGAGATAGACCAATCCCCAAAAATTACTTGTTGAAAATTTCGTCTGATATTTAAATTTTTCGATTTTTTTTCTAATCAATTTAACTTTAAAAAAAGCAAATTTGAAAAAAAAAGTGGGCAGGTCCTTAGAGTCGTAGGAAATTTGGGGTTAAAAACGCGCAAAAAACTGACGAAATGGAACCTAAGCTGTTACAGAAAACTTTAAAAGACTCTAATGTTTAAGAACAGGTGCCTGAGTTTAGGAGCCAAATTAGGATATTTTACAATAGAAGAAATGGTTTTCAGTTGATCAAGAACTTCCCAAAATTGATGGAGGAAAATTTTTTACCAAACAAAAAGATCATAAAAAACCTAACCTAACAATTCTCAAATGTCAGTAAACTGTAATGTACGTGTTTAAAATAACCAAACCAGAGGATCTGACCCAATCTCCTATCCAGGGTGGACCCCCTGCTGTGTAAACTTAACTTAACCCAACAAGACAAAATACAGACAAAGGAACCAAAAGAACCAAACTTGAATTAAAAAAGAAAGTCAGAAAAACTGGAAAATTTTAAATTTCGGACAAAAACTCTATAGAGTAAAGGTTTCTTATCCTTGTTATGCTCTATTTCCTTATATACAAATCAATATAGAGTTCCCTGACTGACGTTTTCCGAATTTTAACCATGTTCAGTGTTTATAGGAACTGAAATGGTGAAGAATTTTAACTTGTTCTTTAATATCACTTAATACCATTTGAATTTTATCATCCAAAGCTTTGAACCTTGAATAGTAATCTTCATCTTTGAGTTTCCTTCCCCCAAATTGTATCATTCCTTTTGTAGGTGTCAGCCATGTAATTTTTTTTTTTTCATAAAGACACTATCAGTCATCTCCCATTTTTTTTTAAGTTTTTGTGTACATGAAGAGACTGTTATATAAAGACCTTCCCTCTACAGTACACTTGTTATCATGATACATTACAATGTCTGTTTTAAATACATGAAAGTTCTTTATGTTTACAAGATGTGGTCGTTTTCCTGTCTACCTAAGATGTGGCCGTGCTCTTCTATAGTTGATTTAGCCCTTTTAAACATTTATCTAATAGCTATGTACTCGTTTTTCTGTCTGCTAGTTGTGGTTGTTTTCCCTTCAACTTTGTAGGAACAATAGGCATTTTACTCACACTTATAGGTGATAGTTGTCCTGGAGTTGTTGAAGTTAGTGATAATATCTATTCAAATCCTACACTTCCTTTGCACATACACAAGGTAGCTGGATTCGATAAAATGTCTTGCTTTACGATGCTCAAATGTTTCATAAACCAAATACTGTACTACTACACCTGATGCGGATGCCCATTGTTTCTTGCTGGCTGAAGGGCACTCTGCTTACTATGTGGTACTTGACTTTCTTTGGTGGTCATATCATCTATTGGGTAAGATCCCATTGATAGGTTACTAGTATGCATCAAACTCTTTCAAAAACAGGGTTGAAATCACCATTTAATTACGTCTGTAGCCACAGAAACTCACTTTCTTATTCGGTACTGCTCTACCATAGCTTTTCATCTCATTACCTACATTTTATATTCACTCTCCTGTGAGATTTCATGTGAAAGGACTATGAAATGCATCTTTAATATCTGAAACATTCCATTCTTCATATGTTAAATAATATTTTTGTCTGCATGACTCAGCACCCCATATTACATACATTTCATAATTCCGGGAGCCTTTTCATGGTCTCTGTTATGTACCTCATCTTCACGCTACTTCAATTAATAATACTACCGTAGTTTATTAGTTTTGGGCCGTCCACCTTGCCACCTCTTATGCTGATGTTGGTGTCCGGGTTAGAGATTTGTTATGATTGTGACAGGTAATTCAGTAGTGTTATTTTTCCTATATTTCAGTCATTATGTCTTGATTCTCTTTATTAGCTTTGTAAGCACTATTTATTATGCTTAGTGAAAGAAAATTTCTTCACTTATATTTTTAAGTCCAAGCAACTTGCTATGTCTTCACTCACTCCTTAACCAAAACAGTATATAAAATTCTTAAGTGTATGTTCCAGTCGTTGTAGATGTAGATATGGTGGGCTGCTGATAAGTTTGGTAGGGACTGCATGTGGCACCCTGCTTGAAATGCAAGGAAGGCCACATAATGTAGACATCCATTCCATGATTTCTTCATAGTTGTTTTGCTACACATTCACAGCGCTCATTTAATCATCCAGTTGTTGATGTAAGACAAATATAATTATTTTATGAATATATATATGAAATACACAAAAGCACTTGGGAAGTTCGTGTTTTCTTTGTTCCTAGGTGGTTATCAATTCAATTTTTCAATTTCAATTGTTTATTCCTTGATAGAGGAAGCGGGATCCTAGTGCTGTCACTAGGTACCCCTGTACAATAACACCAGAAGCACCTGGCAAGTGTGACAAGTATAAACAGTATAAATTTTATAAAGGGGCTTACTAAAGCGTAAGGAAGGAAGGATATTCCTTTAACAAATTATCAATATTATTTACATAATATCTGGCCAGTATGGGGAGGATCATCGTGTCTCCGTCAGGGGGTCGTGGAGTGGTGGTCCAGCAGGCGTCACGGAAGCGTTGTGTGGCGACATCTTAGGGGATAGTGGATAAGGGTGCGGGTGTCGGGTCTTCTGCTAATGGACAAGAGCGTTGCTCAGGGGATGCGGGGATACCAATCTCCCAAGCAAAGTCATACCCAATGATGATACGGGCAGCAATCACGTCCCTTTTCCGCGACCCTTTCCCATAGACATACGAGAGGTCAGGAAGTTTACGGAGAACATCGTACCAGGTGGGCGGGAAGTGGTTATCAGCTTATATATGGATCGCGTGCACCTACTGCACTGTACAGTGATTTATTTGCTCGGGTTAGGTATATAGTACAGTACTGTATAACGTTGACTGTCACAATTTGTCCTCCCTGACACGGGTAACCACCTCAACCTAACCTAAGCCGAGAAATTTTGATAGTACGATATATTAGGAAGGATGTGTGCTGCTATTAGTGTAGCTTTAGTTTTACATGGATGCGACACTGGTGTACCTCAGGTTTTCATTGACAACAGCCAGTTGCTCGGAGATATCTTTTGTGGAAGTGAAGTGGAGGGATTGTTCAGGTTAGCAGACGAGTTGTAATGTGGAAAGTGGATTTGTATGAGATGAAGATTGCACTGACTTGTATAGGTTTAAGAAAGAATGGTAACCAACGTGTAGTCTGCTCGAGATATACTGTACAGTATTGTTATTTCTCTGGGGTAAGTTACTTCCGAAATGTGGACATTAGGTGATGTTCAGTATGCCTTTTGTTGGGAGTCTTTGGATGGAGGAAGCTATTCACTTGTTATGGATGTAGATAGTTGTGATGGGAGTACTGTTGAGTGTATGAGGGTAGTGTTGTATGATGTATTTCTTGTCATGGTGTAATGACCACGGTCATACACGTCAGTTAACGTAAAATCAGACGATTCATATTACGCTCAATAGCCCACAAAACATGTAGCTATGTCTTTTTTATTGAGTCTCCCCTCTGAGGCGTCCGTTTTCTCATCGCTCCCAAACCAGGGTACCATCCATTTTCTCTGACTTCCTGAAACCAACCTCTCTATAAAGTGAATTTGAATATGAGAGAGGACACCATTGTTTTGAGTCAACTTAGAGATGTCTGAGTACAGTTAAAGCATACAAGATCCTTTGTGAGTGATGTTGAAAGCTTTAACTGTCTTTATTGTTAGTAACACTTGTTAAGTGAGTGTCGAGTCTGCCAGTACGAATGGCATCCCATGATATTGTCCCTGGGGATAGCCATGAATTTCCAATTGCTACTGAAGTTAGATTGTTTTGATGCCCAAACATCAGATGTAGTTTAATTAGTGTCAGTTGTCTATTTAAGAAAGTCATTAATCTCCTGAACTATTCTGTCAACCTGTATAATCTCCAACATCTAACGTATCCCCTTGAATAGTTCCTTGTTTGTAGTTTCGCTGACAGCACCGAGAGTGAGCTCATTCAAGACCAGACTTGACCAACACTGGCGCAGGTGCAGATACATTCTGGAGCCAGTTCTTGCCAATGACGACATGCAGCCTGTCTCGCAATGAGGATCTGTTTGGTGGGGTTCTTGGCCAACCAGATATTTGCCTCAGCCCAGCCAGCCATTCACCTCAGCCAGCTGTTCATTTCAGCTAGTCAGCCGTAAGCCTCAAGCCAGCCTCACAGACCCAAACAATCTAAAAGAAATAACAAACCCTTCCCCGTGTCCACACACTCTCCCTCCTATCCACCCTTCCTCCCACCCACTCCCTCATCCCATCCACACACCCTACCTCCCATCCACACACCCAACCTCCAACCACACACCCTTCCTCCCATCCACATACCCTACCTCCCATCCACACACCCTTCCTCCCATCTACACACCCTAGAAAGAAAATTAAATTAATATTTGATGATTTTGATATTCTTCATGAGAAAAGAGCGAGTCATCAGTCGAACATTAACTCACGTCTCACGACCTAAAACCCCAAAATTAATAATAGTAATAATAGTAATAATAATAAAAATAGTAATGGAAGTATTACGCTTATGCTAACCGTGGAAGCCAACTGCTTGTTTGGTTGTGGACTAGTTTAGTGACGAAAGAGCGGATCGTTGACGAAGCTTCGAAACTCATGACTATCTTTCGTTAATAATTATTAGTTTGATTTTAGCTAATAGTGGATAGAAGTGATTTAAGAAAATTAATGAGATTATAGATGACGGACCAATCGTGTATGGTGTTCTTTCCGCCGTCCAGTCGATTATTTTCATATAAATCAGTGAAGCGAACCAATGAATTAATGAATCGAAGCACCTCGGGTTCGCCACTCGCCAGTGATCATTAGAGGTACAGCAGTGGTGGAGGCATCATGTGTGTGTGTGGTCATACAGTATTTGATCGCTATTTCTATGTTTTATGTTTGCTGTTTGTGGATTACCTCGTGTTTGTGGCGTCGTGAGGACTTCCAGTACTCTACGTTGTGGCTATTAGCAGTTGAGTGAAGGTAAGGTGATAACATGTTGTGTTGTTGTACTGTGGGGTCCAGGGAGGAGGAGGCGGTAGTGTAGCTCTCCGCCGTGTGTACAGGAGTTGTGGATGCCGTGGCTCGGACAGAAAATACTGCTATTAAGATGGCTATTAACCTAAGCTAGTATGTGGATAGACAGATAATACTGCTATTAAGATGGCTATTAACCAAAGTTAGCATGTGGATAGACATATAATACTGCTATTAAGATGGCTATTAACCTAAGCTAATATGTGGATATATGAATAAAATCCTAGAATTAGTATCGGTACATTGTTGTTGCAGTGCGGGGTACTTATCCACCTGTACTGGGACCTTGATTTTTTATGAATTTATTGAGTAAAAATCATACATACATACATACATGAGGGTTATCGGCCTGGTTATGTCATGTTAAACACCTTGTTCAGTTGAAGTTTTTATTTGGGTAAGAGTGGTAGGTATTGTCACCGGGGCCCATATGCTGCTATTGCTGAAGTAAATTATGTCATGGGATCACTAACCAACATTTCCAATATAATTATTTGCCCTTGATAGTGTAAATACCTAGCGCGTCACTTGGATCAATTCGATTCAATTTCAATTGTTTATTCCTTGATAGAGGAAGCGGGATCCTAGTGTTGTCACTAGGTACCCCTGTACAATGACACCAGAAGCATCTGGCAAGTGTCACAAGTATATACAGTATAAATATTATAAAGGGGCTTACTAAAGCCTAAGGAAGGAAGGATATTCCTTTAACACATAATCAATGTTATTTACATAATATCTGGCCAGTATGGAAAGGATCATCGTGTCTCCGTCATATGGTCGTCGAGTGGTGGTTCAGCAGGCGTCACGGAAGCGTTGTGTGTGGGGACATCTTAGGAGGTAGTGGATAAGGGTGCGGCTGTCGGGTCTTCTACATAATGCACAAGGG